GGTGGTGGGGGTCCGCGGTGGAGTCTCAAACTTGGAGTCATAGTTCAAAGATAAGGTAAAACTTTTAGGACTAAGATCAGGAGAGATTTCTTCACCCAGAGGGTGGTGAGCCTGTGGAATTGACTGCACAGAAAGTGGAGCAGGCAGATGTAACTCGTGGCTGAAGAGATCAAGGGATATTGGGAGAGGATGAAATTAGGGTATTGAACTCAAATGATCAGAGCGGGGAGAGAGCAGCAATGGATATCGGGGGAAACCCCTCTGCTAGTTGAAGTCATACCCAGCACATTGGAAGAGGATTGTGGTTAACGGGGGTCATTTCTGCAAGAATTCCTCAGGGTAATGTCCCAGACCCAAGCATCTTCAGTTACTTTAGTGACCCTCTCTCCATCATAAGGTCAGAAGTGGGATGTTCGCTGAACATTGTGTAACCATCAGCACCATTCAAAGCTCCTCAGAAATGGAAGCAGCCTATGCTCAAAAGAAACGAGAGCTGGGCAATCTCCAGGCTTTGGCTGACAAGTGGCAAGTAACATTCCCACCAGACAAATGCCAGACAGTAACCATCTCCATTAACAAACAGACTGCAAATCTAACCATCATCCTTTTGACATTCAATGACAATATCATCAATGAATCCCCTACGATCAACATCCCAGGGAGGGATACTTGTAGCACAGTAGTAGTATCCCTGCCTCTGAACCAGGAAACCTGGATTCAAGTCCCACTTGCTCCAGAAGTATGCTGTAACATCTCTGAATAGGCTGATGAGAAACTAATATTCTGGGAGTTACCATTGACTAGAAACTCAACTGGAGCAGCAGTATAAACAAAAGTACCTCCAAGAGCAGGTCAGAGACTAAAGAATTTTGCAGAAAAATAACACCTCCCGACTCCCCAAAGCCTGTCCAGCATCTACAAGGCACAAGTTAGCAGTATGATGGAATACCCCCCACTTGCCTGAATGGGTGCAGCTCCAACACTCAGGAAGCTTGACACTATCCAGGTCAAAGCATCTCACTTGACCGACACCACATCCACAAATGTTTACTTTCTCTACTACTGATGCTAGGTAACAGTAGCACTCTGCCTACAAGTTGCACTGCAGAAATTCATCAAGGCACCATGGACAATGTGCTTCATTCTCACAACTATGACCAACAAGGAGGACAAGGGTTGCAGATACATCAGAATACCACCACCTGAAAAATCATCTCTAAACCACTTATCATCCTGACTTGGAAATCATCTTTCCTTCACTATTGCTAGATCAAAATCTTCCTGCTGATATTGCGGTCTACCTACAGCAGATGGATTACAGCAGTTCATGACTATCTTTTCATGGGAAACTAGGAACGGGCAACAAATGCTGGCCAGCCAACAACACCCATGTCCCACAAGTGAATAAAAAAGTATGAAGCATTTAGAGGGATCAGAATTCTTAAAATGTGTCCAGAAAAGTTTAAGTCACAAATAGAAAGCCTTACAAAAGAAGGAGACTGTTCAATCTAATTTTGGGGATCAAAGCCAGGCAAGTGCTTGAAGCATCAGTGGGGGAGCATTTTAATTATAGTGCCCATAATTCTAAGATTTTAAAGGTAATTATGGAAAAGAAAAAAGTTGGACCAGAAATAAAAAATGTTCTGAATGAGGAGAAATTCAATTTTACTAAACACAAGAAGCTACATAATCAGAAAATCTACAAAGCAGTAGGAGCCATTTAAAATGGAACTGGTGGAAGCAGAAGGCCAAAACATTTCTATAAAATGATGAAGGGGCTTGGAGGCACAGGAGTCCAGTAAACCCAAGTAAATAGAAGCCCAAGAGTACAGAACGTGTTGAGGGTTACTTAAACAAAAGGAACGAGAAGATGAAAAATGAAAGATATACTGGCGAATAAAATAAAGGATAATTCAAAAGTATTTAAACTATATTAGAGACAAAAAAGGATAATCAGGGAAAGAGTGGGGGCTGAAGTGTAGAGCCAGAAGACAGAAATGAAGTATTTTGTACCCGTATTCATTATCAAGAACAACATAAGTGCTTTTAAAAAAAAAAAAAGTGGGGATTTTGATAAACTTGAGTAAATTGATTGGAAAGGGAGGAGATATTTGCGATTTTAACAGGCTTAAAAATTGGATAAATTCCCAGGCCTAGATGAGGTGCCTGCTGGACTGCTGTAGGATGCAAAAGAAGAGGCTGCAGCAGGCAGCCTTGACATTAATGTTCACATCATCTCTGGACAAGAGGTGCTAGAAGGTTAGCTGTCTTCCAACATGGTACAATTATTTGAACTTTTGAGGTGGCGGCTACATGTGTGAATGAGAGTAGTGCAATTGAAACGTCTTTAAAAAGTAAATTAAATGAAGTGATTTTAAAAATGAAACACTAAACAATGGTTCATACATTTTCTATGACATCTACGTGAAGACACAGATGTCCAAATTCATAGAAAATGCTGAAATAAAACAGTAGTTATTATATCTGCATTGAGAATACACCTATAGATACAACACTTCTGACTCTGAAAATTCAGATCATTTTACAAATTTCAAAGCCTGAAAGTTAATTTTTAAGTTAGGAGACCACTTTCTCCAAATATTGCTAACTACATTCCTCAAAAAGTTAAGAAAAGAAACAGCACTCTTTACTCTTACCTGCCACTCCAGCCGAGACCATGTGGACCAGGCTAGAATCTGGATCCAGGACTGCATTCAATTTTTCCTTAGAACTGGAGTAAGCAGCGAAGTAAATTGCTCTAGAAGAGGGAACACAATTGCATCAGTGAAACATTAGCCACACTTTAAACCCAGCAACTTGGCAATGATTTAAAAAAAAAACACTACTCTCTTTCTCCTCTGCGCACCTTAAGAAAGTAACACTGTGCAAATTTAATTTTACATTTTATTTCATTCAGAATTATTTCCCATAAACAAAGATGAAAAGATACAAAAATGAATGTAATCATCTCAGATTCACAAGGTTTAAAGATGAAGAATTAGATTAGATTTTTTTGTTACATCCAATGTTCTCTCAATTAATTTTCCTGCGTGCAAGTGACTCAAGTGTGCACTACTTCTGTAGCAAACGTTATTGCTGGCTGCACATGATAATTCAAAGCTGCCAACTTGAGAGTGACCTGCACAGCGCACTCGGGTTGCTGTGCGACTTAGTAGGAACACCAGCTCCATTTGTTAAACAGAATTTGTCAAGTTGTGCACGTAGACAAGTGTTTTTGGCCATCCTGGAAGACTGGGCCATGATAAAAGATCTGTACCAGAACTGCCACAGAGATAAGGACTTGGATGGAGAGGAATGTGTTAAAACTGTATACAAGAAAATTTTCTGATTCAGCATGTGGACATTACCTACTAGAGAAGGTGCAAAACTTGACACACTCTTGGGAAATAAGGCAGGGAAGATGACTAGAGGTGTCATGGAGGAACACTTTGTGGCCATTGACCATAATTCTATTCGTTTTAAAAGTGATGGAAAAAGAGAAGACAAGACTGGATCTAAAAGTTAAAGTTCTAAATTGGAAGAAGGCCAATTTAATGGTATTAGACAAGAACTTTCAAAAGGTTAACTGGGGAGGGGAAGCAGATGTTTATAGGTAAACAGACAGCTGGAAAATGGGAAGTCTTCAAAAATGAGATAACAAGAGTTCAGAGACAGCATGTTCCTTTTAGGATGAAGGAAATGCTGGATGCCTAGAGAAATTGAGGTTTTAGTCAAGAGTAAGAAGGAAGCAGGGAAATCAGTAGGGCAAAAACGGGACTTGAGATAGTTTTTGCAAATAGGGTTAAGGAGAATCCAAAGGGATTCTACAAATACATTAAATGTCGAAAAGGTAACTAGGGAGAGAATACGGCCCCTTAAAGAGATCAGCAAGGCTGCCTATGTGTGGAACAGCAGGAGATGCTAAATTGGTATTTTGCATTAGTGTTTACTGTGGAGAAGGATATGGAAGATAGAGAATGAGGAAAAATAAGTAGTCACATCTTGAAAAACGTCCATATTACAGAGGTGGTGGTGTTGGACGTCTTAAAATGCATAAAGATGGATAAATCCATGGGGCCTGATCGTGTACCCTAGAACTGAGAGAAATGCTAGGGAAGTGATTGCTGGGCCCGTTGTTGAGATATTTGTATCATCAACAGCCATGGGTGAGGTGCCGAAAACTGGAGGTTGACTAAAGTTGTGCCACTATTTGACAAAGATGGTAGGGATAAACCCGAGAACCATAGACCCGTTAGCCTGACATTGGTGATGGGCAGGTCGGTGGAGGGAATTCCGAGTGACAGGATTTACATGTATTTGGAAAGGCAAGGAATGATTAGGAATACTCAACATGGCTTTGTGCGTGAGAAATTGCATCTCACTAACTTGATTGGGTTTTTGGACGGAGTAACAAAGAGGACTGATGAGGGCAGAGTGGTTGAAGGGATCTATATGGCTTTCAGTAAGGCGCTTGACAAGGTTCCTCATGGTAGACTAGTTAACAAGGTTAGATCACACGAAAGAGGGAGAACTAGCTATATGGATACAAAACTGAGGGTAGAGGGTGGCTTTTCAGACTGGAGGCCTGCGACCAGCAGGCTGCCACAAGGATTAGGGCTGGGTCCACTGCTTTTCGTCATTTATATAAATGATTTGGATATGCACATAGGAGGTATGGTTAGTTAGTAAATGGACACCAAAATTGGTGGTGCAGTGGACAGCGAAGGTGGTTACCTCAAAGTACATCAATTGGGCCAATGGGCTGAGGAGTGGCAAATCGAGTTTTCGATAAATGTGAGGTGCTGCATTTTGGAAAGGCAAATCAGGGCACGAATTGTATACTTAATGGTAGGGTCCTGGGGAGTGTTGCTGAACAGAGAGACCTTGGAGTGCAGGCTCACTGTTCCTTGAAAGTGGAGTTGCAGCTAGATAGGATAGTGAAGGCAGTGTTTGGTATGCTTGCCTTTATTGGTCAGTGCTTTGAGTATAGGATTGGGAGGTCATTCTGATCTCCCTGCTACAGCAACAATGTTGTGAAACTTGAAAGGGGTCAGAAAAGATTTAAGGATCTTGCCAGGGTTGGAGGGTTTGAGCTATTTGGAGAAGCTGAATAGAGTGGGGTTATTTTCCCTGCTGTGTGTGCGTGACCTTGTAGAGGTTTCCAAAAACAGGTGGGCCACGGATAGGGTAAATAGACAAGGTCTTTTCCCCAGGGTAGGGGAGCCCAAAACTACAAGGCATAGGTTTAAGGAGAGAGAGGGGAAAGATTCAAAAAGGAACTTGCAGGGCAGGTTTTTCAGGCAGAGAGGGTGGTGTGGGTATGGAATGAACTGCCAGAGGTAGCGGAGGAGACTGGTACAATTACAACATTTAAGGCATCTGGATGGGTATAGGAATAGGAAGGGTTAAAGAGGGATTATGGGGTCCAAATGCTGGCAAATGGGACTAGATTTATTTAGGATATCTGGTTGGCACGGAGGAGTTGGACTGAAGGGTCTATTTCCATGCAGTATATCTCTACGACTCTAAGTCTATAAAAACAACTGATTGTACAAAGTGGTGTAGTGTGTGAAAGGACAACCTTCTAGCAACTTGGACAAACAGGTCAGTTTCATTAACTGATCTTCATCTGATGCTAAAAAAAAAATAGTACAGTTCAATGTACAGAATAAATAATAGGAGAGATTAAGGATATATTTGAGACCAGCACCATCCTCGCAGAGACTTAAATAAATGCTAACAAGAATTGGGATCAGTTTATAGATCTAGTTGGGAATACTTGGAAAATTCCAATTTTTTTTTTTGAAGTTTTGTTTTCAAAATAATTGCCCAGGGCTGCAAACCCTTGTAGAGAGCAAAATGTGCTACACACAAGGCAAGCCAAATTAAGACCACACCTTTGGAAAATAGCATCTCAAAAATTGCAAGGATAAAGATCAGTATTCAAAACAGCAAATGCTGCAATCACTGAGGTCATTCTTTCAGCATTTGAAGACAGAGCAGACAAGTTAACATTGTGCATGTGAACAATTTTTCCACCTTACTTGGAATGTTCAAATGTGATATGTTCAAGGTGTTTATCGTATAGTGTGTAGAAAACTCGAAAGGACAATGCAACACCTTCAGCAGATCTTTATCTTACATGTGGTAGAGATATCCAAAATATAGAAAATGTCATTTGAGCCAAGGTGACTGGCCAAATATTTAAAGCCTAGGAGCTTGCTGGTTTGTACAGTTCTGCAACTTGCCATGTTGTACATTTATCCATCATTCAGAATGAGAAAAATCAAAACTGATGTATTGCGAATTCCAACCAAATCAGTAACTTGCCGAGCACACATTTCCAGAAGTTGGTACAAAAATCCGACTGATAACATCTTAAAAGTGCTTGTTAAATGGGTATAGAGCTCTTCAGCTATTTCTTTTGCATACGTGGCTTCACAATGCCTTTCTTCTAGACTTGAGCTACTTGAGAACACTAAAGGCTACAGCAATTTTCTACCTACAATTATTAATGAAGTGAATTACTTCATAAAAATTCCCGCTGAATAAGAACCTCATGGCTATCAAGTAGTAGAAAGGTTGCACTCTGAATGATAGCAGATGTTCTGACTCACATTGGTGTTAATGAAGGGCTACTAAACTAAGTCATTTACAAACACTTCAGTCCATACTTACTAATGGTCTTATTAAACAGATAGGCCATAACTCAGTGACTCAATTAACCTTTGGTATTGCTCTTAGTCACAAAAGGCAAACTCAACAAGCCATATGCTTGCTTTTACTATTAAGATTTTTGGACATCACTTTGGAAAAACACCATTAAGTGCATTTGTATTCCTTTTACAACAGGTTTAAGTGCTGCACATGACACTTCACTGTTGGAAAAAAAAATGAACCAGCTTTTTTCAGTCTGCTAATGTGTAGTGCATATAAAGAAAACAGGTATACCTAATTCTACTTAATAAATTAGTGAAAGCCATTTGTCTCCTAAATTACATCCTTCATTTACAATATGTCAAAAGGAATCCTAGACCATATTAATTCGGTCTTCATTCATATAACAGGTCAGCAAAGGGTTCCTGTTATTTTCAATCTGGACCTGAAATAAGCCAAACCAGCAGGACTGCAGAGAATATATCAATCTTCAATGTTAATTCAGAAAGAAAGCTGTCTCAAATTATTTTGTCCCTGCCTCCAAAACCATCTCTCTAAACTGGGATCATGATTTTCCACTTACTGCATTCAACAAATGAAAGCTTAGAAGGTGATATCATTTTCCTATGTACACAGCCATATTTAAAAAAAAGGCGGTAGAAACTAAGAGTTAAACTTAGGAAAAAACCTGTACATCCATGAAACTTTTACATGGTTCAGTGCAGTTTCATTTTTTAAAAAAAAGTAATTTTTAGGGAGTTAAAATCAGGTTAAACAGAGGTGGAGGCAACACATTTATTGAACATGCTACAATAGATTACTGCTAAAACAAAGATTTTCATTTGATGCAATGACAAAAATAACCATTACATTTGAAGTGGATATGGTCATGATCATGGATGGGGTGAAAATTAATAGGCAAAATGAAAAGTCCTGGATTAGGCATGAAAAAGCTGGCTATGTTTAGAGCGTGAACAAGTTGTCTTGTCTGGATGGTGTGGGTCTCAGGCTACTAAGGAAAACAGAGCTGGAGATGGTGCAAGGATTTGCCACAATGATCCATAATTTCTGAAACACCGGGAGATGGAGTAGATCAGCAATTGGCAAATATGCAGAAAAGGTGCAAGGACGGTTCTAGTGGACTCAGGTTGGGGAATTTAACATTAATGGAGAAGGTTTAAAGTGATATTAAATCAGAAAAAGAAAAACAGCACACTGGGAGTGATTTAAGGTGTGCCAACTCAGATTTGTAAAAGGCAAATCATGCTTGATTCAAATCACAAATTTTTGGTTGAGTAGCATGGCAATCAATGTTGTCTAAAGAGATCACTATGAAAGCATTTAACAAAAAACTTGATGAAATTGAAGTTCATAGAACGGTCAGTGTTTGGTT